ATATAATTCGATATTATATTGAATTCCAAATAAAAAATGATATCGTTATTTAACGCTGAGTCCAGAAACTAATAATTTTTAATTCAGTAAACGATTGTTCATTTAATTAATGTTTTAAATATCCATCACAATTATATAAAAGAAAAATGCAGTCGATTAGTAAGATGGTCAATAATTGCGAGTAATCATCATTCATTCAAGAATATTTTAATAATAATTTAATAAAAAATCATCTCCTTTTAAGGCATTTATTCGCATAATCAACAGTATATAAGTAATATAAAGTAGAATCAGGTGACTTACCTTGTATATGCAGAATATTCTATAAAGTATGGAATTTATGGAGTATTAAATTACATATTATTTCCATGATAAAGATTTAATTTCTCCAGCGTACAACGATTCTGTGACACGAAAATTAACTGCACACCTCGCAGTCTCTAATTTACTGCTTAAACAAGTGAGTATTATAATAAATATTCCCAACTAGGGTTTTTGCAAGCAAATGTACTCTTACCAGTTCGTCAGCAGTGTCACGAAAGAAAGTCATAAAGTGGTTCGAATGTAAGCACGGATTTCTATATTATGATTTTTAACAACACTCGTTTCACGAATATATCATAAAAACCTTTTCAAACATTTTGAGATTTTTAATATTATATATAAACAATGCCAGCATTGTAAAATAAATAAATAATGCATAAATAAACATAGTATTTAATGAACGAATAAATAAATAATGCATAAATACACATAGTATTTAATAAACGAATAAATAAATATGAAACAACATACCATTGAAATTAAATATTAAATCGTAACAAAAAACAAAGCTTGCAATGAACATTATTGCAATTATTATTTAGTCGATTCACATTTTCATTTGCTTGCTAGAATTTCTGTACAGTATGGTTGAATTATAATGTTTATCGAATAATACCTCATAATAATAGGCTGGCAATGATAATGATAACAAGTAATACTAGTAATAAAATTAATAAGGAAATAGTAATTTAATGAATATTATTATTATTTCCATGTTAATTTAATTTTAAATATAAACATTTCTAAATTTTCTACTTAGCAGAAATCAGAATAATTTATGTACTACAATTTTGCTTATTAACAGATAAGTCATTGTTCAGTGTGAATAAGAATTGTTTTAGGATAAGTTCATGGATTATCATACTACGGTTTTTGCTTCTGGAAGATTGTCTTGCGTGCTCATAGTCAATTTTCCACGTGATGAATGAGTCGGACGGGTTTAGTGTGTACTAAATAAAGGTTTTTATTACTTACGTTAATCAGGACCTTTATTGTAAATTGTAGCATAATATGCCTTTACTCTTACATTCACTACATATTTAGTCAAAGATAGGGCAGGAAAGTAGAATAAATAATGTTGTCTAAAGATTTTTGTAAAATATATTATACTGAAACTAGTGTTATTAATACACTTCTCCACTCATACAGTAGAAACACTGAAAAACAGATATTATTTTATATTGTCATTCTTAAAAATCAAAAATTAAGTAACTCGTTGCAAAATATAACTATTCCAAATGTTTAATCTACTTCTTAATTGAATCGTACTCTCTTGTATTACACTGGGAACGTAATGAGGCACTTTAAAATTTTTATTATACTCTTGTGTAGTAAAAATAATCGAAAATGTACATTTCTATATAGTCTATTCTAATTTATTTATTTATTTGCACGATTATACATATGTGCAACTCAAACATGTAATTAAAGATATGCATAAAATGTAACATATAATCATTTGTTAAACTTGTACGCAACGAAAGTTTCATGAATCAAAATAAATTACTATATTTAATTATTTCTATTATCATTATAGTGTATAAAGTTGTCATCCAAGAATGAAGCCACAATATATTGCTAAAATCCTATTATCCCAAAATCCTAAATGCTAAAATGGAAATTTCATTCAAATGAACCCACAACACGGTAACTCTAAGAGTCTAAAAGAAAATGTTACATACCTTGAATTTCCTTCATCTGAATACTTCCTGGATTGCGTGTAGACCACAACACCAATACTTCCCCGCCGACAGAGTCTCTGAACGAAAGGATGGCAACACGCAGAAAAAGAAATAATTTTTGGTAGACATTTGCTTTACATTCCATGATGATTTTATTTCGGTTACAGAACAACGCTCACATCAGGCAGTTGATTTTTCCGTTCTCTTGTTTCAGCTCGTGTATTTACAAGAACGTCCCCGACGTGCGCTAAGGGACGATTAGTCGATCTAAGATTTCCGAACGCGCGGGGGGGAAAGGGACAGAGAGAGAGAGAGAAAGAGAGAGGGTGAAAAAGTGGTAGAGGGGAAGAAAGAGAGGGGCAGAGAGGGTGGGAAGAGAGAGAGAGAGACAGGGAGAGAGACGGTCTCGCGTTAGAGCTTAGCGCAAGGAATGTTCGCGGAGAATCCGTTTCGTCCCTTTCCCCCACGGCAATCCGACAGATTCAAGATGCTTATTTAATCCTAAGACGAGAGAGTATTGATAACGCAAAAATGCATCTGGATAGTACGTGTTACGGACAACAAGTTGCAAGAATCGTTTCGATATGCACGGAAAACCGGCGCGACGCAATGTTGGAAATCGGAATCGGATCGAACGGATCCTAAAATCCCTTGAATGATCGGATGGAAATGATTTCCGTGCGTATCATTTCTATCGACGAACGACGACCGCGAACACCGAAATCTGATAAATCCACTTTCAACGTAGCCGATTTCCGCGGCAGATTCAACGAACGGCTGCTGCTCGACTCGAGTGTCCTTCCAGGCGCGTTGTCGTCGAACAAACGAACAGACAGCATCGCCGAAAGGATTGCAAATCGGATAACAATCGCGACAAATGAAGATTACAAACGAATTGGTCCTCCTTATTTAACCCTTTCTCCTATAATATCGAGCCAGACTGGTGATCAAGATTTCCAATCGAATCCGGTAAATCTAAATGCCGTTTATATATTTCTTGTGCGAGCGAGGTATCGCTTGGCTGTTATCGATCTTTGATTTTTAAAGTAAACGTACATAGAATGAGCGTCAAATTCTTTTCTCTTTCTGCTGAAGTATTAATTGTTATTATTAATCGATTAGTTTAATAGAAAAGTAGTTTTAACGGATAAAGTAGTTCTATTAAGTATAGCTGTGAGAGAAATCATAGGACAATTTCTTTTCTTTTACTACTAAATTATTAATCGTTATCAGTAATGAATTGTTGGTTTGGTAGAAAAGTAGTTTTACTGGATAAAGTAGTTTTATTAAGTACAGTTGTGAAGGAAATCATAGGACAAGGGGTTAATGCCATTCTCTTTTTCCTTTCATCCCGTTTTTTAGGTACCATTTTCATCAGCGATCTGGTTCACCCAACTAAAACAACGTTTGTCTCGATTCTTAAGTAATTATGTACATAAAAACGATGAAGAGTAAACGTAATTTGCGTGATTGATTCTAACAAAAACCGAGAGATTCGTTATCGAGAGGGAATTATCTATCGTTTGTCATGATTCTGTTTGAACGGATTCAGTGTTATCGTGTTATTCGTTCACGATCTTCCTGTATCATACTAGTTTACTTATGAACCTCGTTTCTAATTGGAATCTCTCTAGAAACGAATTTCACGAAATGAAAAAGACTCGCTCTCCGTGCGAGAATTTTCGGTCGAACTCGATTTATAATGCGTAATGCGCGATACACAATAAGTGTACACAGAATTCACTATTAAAATCGTAATTAATACACTTGCCTACTGCTCGTTTTATCTTCCGTGTAAAAATTAGGATCATTACGAACTATGTAAGAAAAAATAACGAATTCTAAAAATAAAATGCATATGTTCCGCGTAATGATCGTTCATGTGATAAAATGGATTAATTCCGTGATACTTTTCGGTTCCGCTGCATCACGAAACATCGCGAACAGAAGTTTCTAAAATATTCATTAAATAGAACGGTACCGAACGTTTGGTCACGATTTACAAATTAACAAATACACGTGCGAAAACAGTGTTGAAACGAGCGATAAAAATGATTACTACGACGGTTCGTTTTCGAATAAATCGAAGATGAAGATTCTTTGACTATGTATGCAATCAAGCACCATTTAACTCGTGTGTCTGTCCATTATAGATTACCTCCACTTGCGTTCGCATTTCTAAATGCTGAAGTGGGTATTATGTTTTTGTTTTCTTTTCTTCTTAATCGTTAAATACACTGACAGTCGAAGGACAGCGAAGATGAGAGAACACCACCAATACCGATGTTTACTGCAAGTAGAAATAACGAATAATCAACAGACGTTGTACTATCCGATGATATAGAACTGATTTCTTTTAAAACGAATCCCTGTACCAGAAAGTGTCATAATACATGATATTTATGTAGCATCACCTGATCTTGAATAATATATTATTCATTCGAGGACATTCCGTATACGCGTACAAGCATTTCCACGTCGAACGTGACGGATTCCAGACCTAAACGTTTAACGAGAAAAAAATACTAAAGAAACTGTGAAATTCGACGAAACAGCGAATTCAAGGTAGATGGTAGTTTCTTAAAGTCACACTGAAAATTTCAGGTACGCGCGAATACTCCTCGATTCGTGTCCGATTCGATGTCATGTCTGAAATTTGACTACACTGAAGGCAATCGGCGCTCTAGAAATCCTTTTATTACGAAGGATTGCCGAAAAGAACGTATTTGCTACAGAATACGTAGAAAGTACAGTGTTCCCCCTGTAAGGTCGCGCTTTCGCGACTTCCGTAGTATCCGAATTCTATTCCTGTGTCACCTTTCACATAGATACGCTGCATAACTTGCCCCACTTTATCGTTCGCGAGATTATGATCTTCCCTGCATGCGCTCAGCGAGACCTTATGGAGGGTAAACGCGTAGTTCAAGTCTGATTCGCGAATTGAACGAGTGAAACAGCATGATCACGTGTTGATAAAATGAGACAAAATATGTCGCGTGTTTGTTCGATCAAACATATTTATTATTTATACCGTAACGTCTCGTTCACTCGAATGTCTACTCTCAGGCGAGAAGCGACAATGATTCGCTTCTCTAACACGTTGACTGCCATAGTCACCGATGACCGGAGCTTCCATATTACTTGAAAACAATTAACAAGAAGGAAACCGATGTTGAATCGAATTATTTAGTAACATAAGTAACCAAATAATAGTGTAACTTACGAACTACGATACCAAATCATTAATAATTAATTCTAATACCGTCTACCTTTATTACAAAGTAATATTATACAAAACGCGCAATATTCTCGTGGCGGTCAACGTGTTAACGGTGTCTCCTCATAACTACTCCGTAAAGTTTCGCTGAACTACTCGAACCGCACGACCTTACGGGGGGAAAAGTGTGCAACGATTTGAAAACCGCACATACCTATATATGTGCACAAGAAATGATTCGATGGAATTACAATGAAATGATAGAAATACTGATTTCGTAAACATTGTAACCGTTCTCATGCTGTCAGACGATTCTCAACTCTAATATATAATTACCCTGTTAAATAATATACATTCATCGGTGATTAGGGGAAGGTGCTCCGTTTGCTAATAATAATACACGATAGTTACGTGACTATTATACGTAATTGGGTAACGAGCTTAGCCGCCAGTATACTTACAAAATACGGAGAAACGAATGGAATTGTCAATTTACTGGATGAAAATCGTACACCGCCCGAGAAGAACTAAAGGAAGCTACGATCGAGACGTTATTCACGCGCGCCGTTTACGCTTAGCTTTTACCGTATAATGCTACATTACGTAACAGTGCATGGTAAGTCTAAAAGAGTTAATTTAACGTGACGCATAAATATATACAATTATATACAGGTATTCGGGCGTTTAGAACGCGTCGAGTTTTTTACGAACAACGTCTGGTTTAACGATGTCTTGTTTGGCACAAAACCTCCTTCACATGTAGATACGCCGTAAATCTGAAGGCGATGTTATCATGTTGCATTGCGGACAGAGCTTTTTCGCACCCTGCAAAAAAATATCGAGATTTCGGATTTCCTCTATTTTCCCTGTATTGGTATAGAAGAATATTTATGTATTTGGTATTGTGCCTGACAACTCTGCGTCACACGGTATATATCGTTTGTAATATACAGTATGATCCACCGAACTTGACGACTTGAAGTTGTTTATAAATTGAGGACCTCGCGGCAATGTATCATCGATAGTGACCATACATTTCTGTATTGAATTTATTACAAAAGCGACGATTGATTCTAAAGAACTTTTCATCGTTATTTATGCGTAAATCCTCGAGTATAATAGGAAGAAATAGGCTAATTTTGTTTTGTGATTTGCCTCATTTTTAAAAGATTATAAGGCTTGGTTTGAACGCTTTTAATTAACGATCACTGTTGTACTGGCAAAATTAATACCTACGAATTGGTGAATGTACGTATGAAGCAAGAATTGCATGATCCGAAGTAGCAATATGAATTATTCGTTTCTTTTTCTATATACTGTATATATAAAATAGTTTCGAAAACTACTTTTATTTCTGTTTTAATATGATAGAACTTACCAGTGTGTGTAACCAACATTGCTCACAATGTACATGCCAGCAGCAAACAGAAGTTACAGGTTTCTTATATTGTTCCTGTAAACAGAGGTGAAATAATAAATTGATTAAGGTTTGTTAAAAAAAGGAGCATACAAAGATTCATATTTAGAAAAGACAAAAACTATTAAAAAAGTAATCGATAGTAAATATTGTTGCATTGTGGAAATCACAAATCATATTCATTCCCGAAAATTGTATAAATCGTGATTTTCGAATATATAAATAATGTTTCGACCAATTCATTGAATGCCATTTTTTCAAATGGTAATGTTTCATGACTAGATTGTACCACGAATCAATGGCAGGAAGTAGCTATTGTACATAAAGTATCTGAATATCATTCTGCATATCGTATTGTCGAACGAATATATAATAAATGTTCAAAAATTCTTTAAAAAATTTGTTAATATACGCAGCAATACAAAGGAATGAAAATATGTAAATGTGTAAATCGCTGAAAATTTGCCAGCATACGATCGATTGTTATTATTAAAAGATGGATCAATTTATAATACTTTTATCTTTCATCAAGGTGTCTGTAAGATTTAAAACATGCAAATTCTTGAATCGTCGTTAAGTCTTGTTAATGCGTTACAAACGTTTATTCGAAAACAAGATACAAAAGAACAGGTTGACATTAATGTGTATCTTACGAAGCAAGATAAGATATGACATTACTTATAGAATGATTTAATAACATAGGTCATTTTTCCATATAATTATCAATGTTCACCTTTCTGTTATGCTTAATTTCTGATATCCGAAGTACTAAATAAAAAATAAAATTCCGTAGAAACGTTCTTTATAGAACGTGTTTTTGTGCGCACTCTTGCACCACCAACACTAGATCTGCGAGCTCTTATTACACAGTTTATTCTATCGTTCCTATGAAAATTGATGTTCGTTCGTATAGATTTTGGAAATTGGAAGTTCAAAGTTCGACGATTAGTGTACCTTTTCGTGTATTTCATGATTTTTTGACGTAAACATTTACCAAATAATATTTAGAAAATCCAATATGCTTCAAATTGACGCGTTCCGTAAACCTAGTGTCAAGGTAACGAATTTCACCCCGTTCCTCGATACGTGAAGGGAACAACAGTGGGAGAGGGTGCAAAAGTCGGTGAGTTTTTCAAGAAAAGCGCAAGTCTGGCAACGGTTTTCTTTTAACACATTCACACCGGCGCTGTAATATCCACTCTTTCCCATTTGGCGGCTGAATTCTCAAAATTCATAAAAATATTGAAATGATCAATAAGTAAATTAATTTTCAACTATATGGCAATGTTTTCTAATTACCAAACCATTTGACGAGCCACATATTTGATGCTACACAGCGTCTAATGAGCCATCAATGGTACAAACTGTCTAATGTGATATCTTACTGTAAGCCACCGGTGGTACACGCCGGGGTGAACGTGTTAAAAATGAAGAGGGACAAAGGGACTCTTCCACTCACAACGCTCGGCTTTCGATTATTCGCGCAGCGTTAGTAACCATCTGAGTGCTGAGGAGTGCTATAGCGCTCTTCTTGTGTTGTGCCAAAATTGCGGAGAGCGCGGAGGCGCTTCTGTTTATCAGTATCAATTATAATTTTCTTACTATGTTTTTCAAGAAATAAATCAAAGTAAATTTATTTGAATAAATGTTATTTTTTGATATTTTTTTTTGTAATAACACAATATTTGTGATCTCATTAGATAAGTACTCTTATTAATTTGTTTGCATACACACCCAATCACCTCCGCATTTTTGGTAAATCTTCACAAAAGTTGTTTAGCATCCAAACGGTTAAAGAACAGAAGTAAGACCGAATGCGATGAAGTGAGATATAACGATAGAGAACAAAATTTTCTACAGTGCCGTCTCACTCCGTTATATTCGGTCTCGTTTTCGCCTTTCGTTATTGCCGCGCGCCAATAACGACCATGCGTTCAAGGTCGAGGTGACCCTAGCATCCTGAGTGGAAGAGTCCTCTTGCTTCTATGCACTTTTAAACCCAAGGTCGCCTTGGCTAACGCTCAGAAGAAAATGCGATTAACACGTTCGCTACCAGCGTCACACAGTTGTGACGGCCGTAATCCTATATTTTTTATAATGAAAATGAAATTAATGTTATAGATATTGTTATTAGAAATTATAAACTACGACATTATATTTAGGAATTCAATGACTCGTCTCTGTTTCATTTTTCTAATATTTTGTTTAGAAGATTTATTGGATTGAAGAAAATATTACAATTGAGGAGACCGTCACCGAAACAAGCGCTGGTAGCGAACCTCTTAAGCCCCTTTGTTGAAATTTTCCGATTTTTCTCGATTTTAATGAAACAAATAATATCCTTTTCAGTTAGTGAAGGATTTTCTCGTTTCTTTTTCTAAGTCAGAAAGCCTTTCTTCTTATAGCTTCTGAATACGTTGTGTAACAATTTCAGAAGCGATTACGGTTAATTTTCTCAATTTCTCTTTTCTGGACTTTACCGCATTGGCACCTGAGCGACTCGTGCGATCGACCGTTTCATTTTGTTTCGCGGCGGAACAGCTTGAAATAGCAATCACTCACCATACAAATGAGACACTTGAACGGTTGACCGCGCATTTCCGCCTCGAGTTCCCGGATTCTTCCTCTGAGTGCCTCGATGACCGGCGTGTCCCCGTCTCTTCTGGGCGAAGACGCTATGCCCTCGCCTTGCTCGCTCTGACCCAGAGGTGTCATCGTTCCTGGTTCAGGCTTCACCTCGACCATCCCCTGACCCACTTGTTCGGGCGTCTGCGACGGGTGTATCGAATTCGGCGCGTTCGGCGAGATCACGGCTTCCCGTAGGGCGTCTCTCTCCTTTTGCTCCCTCGGCGTCCCGTCCATACGCGGCGCGACCACGTCGGCCTCGGAATACTGAGATGGCCCGAACTCGGCGACATCGTCACCGTCGACCACGAGATCAACGTCTTCGTCGTCCTGTTGATTCGAACCAGCGTTTCCGCCGGCTGATGAACGGTTGCTGGATGATGTCGCCAGACCTGCAGCTGAGGACATTCAAAGGAGAAGGGAAACATAAAATTAACCCTTTGCACTCGAGAGGTGACTCTCAGTCACCACTCGATTTGATACAGAAAAATTATAAAGTCTTATACGTAGTATCGTAGGTTTAAGACAGTGGGACAGCGAGTGTTCTAAGGGTCACAAAAGAGAAAAGGGACTGATGGAGACCAGGCGCAAGGGTTGGTGGGTTTTTTCCGGAGGATGTGTGTTTGAGAATTTGTTGGAGGTGCGAGTAAGAAGAATGCTTGTGGGGGAGAGAATGGTTTTCAAGTGCGGATGATGAGAGATTTTGGGAGAGATGCGTTGACTTGAGAAGAGAAAAGATCTGTACACTCCGAGCTATATCGTTTCTATTTATTTGTATTTTATTCGATTATCTATTCCTGTGTTCTTTTAAAGTAAAACATATTTAAAATACCATTAATACCACATATATATATATATATATATATATATATATATATATATATATATATATATAATATTAATATTT